ATTTGGGTCATCCAAGCCCAAATAATTCTAACAAGACTTTGCTAGTTACACCTCCCATAATCTACTAATTACACCATTAAGTAAAAAATAATAATACAAGGACAAAATTACCTACATTACTTGAACCAAAATACAAGGTCAAAATAAAGGAAAATATTTACATGGAAAATATACAAAAGCAAGAATGAACTATGAAATAAGTCTATATCTCAACAGAAGCTTCAGCCTTGTACCTTTCACCTTAAGCCCACTCCTCTTGCATTCTTCTTGTCATTGTTTTTTTTAAAGGTCATGTACCTTCAAGAATGGTTTTCTATCATCCCCTCCTTCTTGATAATGATTTGTCCTCAGATCATAAGTTTCTTCTTCTCCTGTAAGAGAAAATATATTGCAAGCATTAGAAATGTTATTTACTTGATGATCTAAGAAACTTAGTCGATTGCTTCTCTCTAAATGTGGAATGAACCTATCCTGAAGGAGTTTTCTTTTCTTGGGATGGGGTCCTCTTGAACCCCTTTTATTCTATCTACACTTTCTATACCTAAGCTCTATTTTCCTAGAAGAGGTATACTACTAAATTGTAATATGTATAAAAGAAGAAGAAAAAAAAGGGTTTTAGTAGCTTTCTAGCCTACTCCCTCAGAATCTTAGATAGATTCATCCCTTTCAAAGGGTTCCTTAGGTAGAATTGCATCAACCCCTCCCCCTTCGAGAGGATTTACTCTCAAATCTCTAGGCTCCTCCACAATTTCCTTAAAACCTTTAAAAGAAGTTATAACATATTCATTAGAGATGTTTTGCACAGTATAAACATGAAGGAGTGTAGCCTATAAGGGATCTTTTCCCAAAAAGATAAAAGGATTATCTAATCTAATGAGAAAGATAGACTCCCTATTAGTAAGGAAAGCATCCTCACTAAAGTGAAGTCTATAGTGGAAACTAAAACCTAAAATGGTAAAACTAGTAAGGCTAAAACAAAATAAGTTTCTATTCCTAAAAACAAAAATATCTTACCTAAGGTATCATGTATGTTTACCTTGGCTCCTAGAACTAAGCAAGTTGAAAACTACTAAAAACACTTCCTAAACAACTCTTAAACATGTGGTTTATTAGATGTATGTAAGAATTTGGTGAAGTGATAAGTCTAAAAGACTTAATCAAATTATATCATATAATCCAACATTAGTCTTAAAAATAGTATTAAATGTAGTTTTAATGTGTTTTGAACCACTCTTAATACTAATATTAAAAGATAATGATGCACCGCAAAAAAGGTATAAAAAATCACATACTTTAAGAGTTGGGTGCTCAAGCTTAATATATAGAAGAAAGTGTTCTACTTATATACATGTTTTCTTCCTTGGGCACCACCAATTTAGAATAGACATAAAGATTAAAACTCTTTGAAGTCCTATCCTTCTTAAAATCATCATGCATGTGCTACTAATAAAATCACAATATTATAAAGATATCAGGATAATAATTATAATATAATTAAATAAAATAATAAAAATAATTTTAATTAATTTGATTGTCAGATTATCAAATCTATAAAATACAAAATCACGAATCAAACCAATTAAAGTTTAAATTTATTTTGTTTGAATTTGAATTTGATCCAATTTGATTATGAAAAAAAATCAATTCAATTTAATTAGTTTAGTTTGGATCATCAATTTTATTAAAAGGGGTTGTCACTCGGTATTTTATGTTTTACCAACTCTATGCAATTAAATACTACCTCACACCCCACCCCACCCCAATTGCCTTTCCATTTTATTTATTTTAACAATTGTTATTAATTTCATATTCGTGATGCTAAAATCATTATTGCTCATTTTTATTCTTTATAAATATTTTAGTATATTCATGGAGGTAATCGTTATGAAAATGATCGTTTTCACCAAGAAAGCTATAGCTTCGGAAAGCTGGTAATTACCTCAATCAGATATCGACACCACACCGTTGACGAAGCTACTAATACTATGTAGCTAGGGGGCATGGTCCCCCTCAATTTTCTAAATTTAATTTTTCTTCTATATATTAAAATTATTATTTTATTAAGAATAATTGAACATAAAAATAATAACATTTAACTATTATCTATTGTTTATTTAACAAAATAATGTATTCTCTCTTTATAGTTGTTATCGTAAATATTTTTATAAATAAATATTCTATTTTTCTTTTTATGATCTTTGTTGGGGTGATAATTATATTTTTTTTCTATTTTTAAGCAAATTATTTACTAAAAAATTAATTTTTTTAATTGGTTCTTTTCTTTATATAATTTTATAGAAAATTTAAAAGTTATAAATAATGATATTTATAATAAAATGAATTTGTTTTCATCCCTAACTTTTGCATGAATTTATTATAAATTAATTTGAGAATTAAAAATTGTTATTAATATTTATTGATAAGACAGACATTTTTACTTTATATAAGAGATTGATATATTGAACTTTAAGTAATATTAATAAAAAAAAATTTGATATTTTACGACAATTTTTTTTTCTTTTCTCATCTCTTTATGGTTGAATGATATTTTACTTTCTTCAATTCTTATTGACTATTATTGTCTTAATAAATAATTTGGTGAAATTCTTTTATATATATATATTTGATAATATTGTTGACTATTATTATAAAAAAAATTGATTAGTAACATAATTTATTTTGATTTAATAGATTCTTATAACAAAATTAATAATACTTATTTACTATTAAACATATTCTCTAAAAAAAATTGTTAAACATTTTAAAAATGAATAATTATCAATATTTTATATAAATTTTTTTGATATTTATATATTTTTTAAATATTTTTTTATAAAATTGATCACTGTTATAGTTTAGTTCCGACTTCGTCAAAATAGTTTAGTTATTTTAATCATAAAACATACCTTTCGAATTTTTCAATATTTTATAATTTATGTTTTAATCTCACTGACATAATACCCATCTCACTTTTTCTTCCTCTTACTTTTCTCTCTCTTTTAGTTACCTTAAGTTTTGTAAAAGAATAAGAGCAAGAATTAAATTTCACTATAGTTATATATATATAGTAGCCATTGTGGAAAATAAACAAGAACCACTTGTTGCAAAAACAAGTCTTCAATGCTCTCTCTCCTATCTCACTAGGGAATTGTCATTATCTATTGTTCAACCACTTTTTCAACACTACACCGATTCTTCTCCACTTGTCTCCAACCATAGCCAAAAAAATCTCTCTCTCTCTCTCTTTGTGGTTTCTTCCTTCTTCTATTCCCATAAAAACACTTTTTAATTTCAGTCCTGTTAATTTTGCGAGAGTGAAAAGCTTGAAGAGCCTAAGCAAGTTGTGCAAAGGTATATATTCTATCCCCTTACTCTATCTCTTTTTACTGCCATGTGTGTTTGTTCATCATCATCCTAATCCAAATGAACATAGGTTAAATAATTTAATTTGTTGCTTTTCTTTTGGACATGCTTATTATATATATGCAGAAAGCGTCAATGATCAAGGGATGAACATTATAAACAGTTTGTTGACAGAAGATAGAGAGCACAGTTGAACATACCCAAAAGGTCTTTGTGTGTGAGCAGTTTTGTGCTCTCTGTTCTTCTGCCAACATACCCAGTTTTTCATCAACTATAGCTTGTTAGTCTCTCAAGTCTTAACTCAACATGGGAATTGAATACTCTTTAATTCGTAATAAACATGCAAATTTCTCAGGGAGAAAACTCTGGTAAGTACTTACTTTTACTTTTAACTTTTTATTCATAATCATACCAAAATGAAATATTCCTTGTCAGAAGTAAATCTCTATAAAAAAATCTTGAATATATACATACAAGATGAATATTTCACTCGGTTTTGTTGCAATTGTGACGCTGCATTCCAAATTTAAAAGCTTCCTCTTTTAATTGGTACTTGCATGATTCGTTGTTTAGTTCACTGTTATAGACACTGTGCTATAATGTAGTGTTGGCTCAATAGCACTTGGAAGTGCAAAGCAGTGAAAGCACACTTTGAACATCAGAAGTTGACTTGACCGAGTAACACGTTCCTTGTCAGTGATTAAAGTGACGTATAGCTTAACCAACATGATGTAGTTTAATTAATATAGTTGATAGATAACGTGGTACAGTGTCAAATATTCGATATTGAAATTCAATGTACAGATGAATGAATATACAGTTTCTAGATTTTTGATTGGAAGATATATACTTAATTCAAGTTAAAAAAGAAAAATGTGAATTATAATTTCAACAAACAGATTTGCACCTGGGGCCGGAGCTGGAATCAGGATATGTGTCTATTCAAATGTTGATGCGATGTGTGGAAGAAAATATGAACAAAATTTTGATGATGCCAAAAGTATTGAAGAAAATAAAGGTCAAGTTAAAGCAAGCTGATCAAGAAGCAAGATCTCAAGTAATAACTAGATAAGTCTTGACTGCTTAGCTTAGTATGTAAAATAAACTTTTAAAATTTGCAAATTTGACTTGGCCATTAAAATAAGAATTTCAAGAAAACCTAAACTTAATACTTTTGAATATAAGAATAAGTTGTTTGAAAAGAAAGCAAAAAGAGTATTCAAAAGATTAAATAAAAATATTTTTAACTAGAAAATAGAAGCTCTTTATATCTTAGGTTTTCATAAGCCAAAACAAGTGACATGTTTCTGGTAATCAATTACCACTTGCTGTAATCAATTACCAGAGAAAAAAAACCTTTCAAAATGTTAAAATGCTATCTGGTAATCGATTACCACTGACTGTAATCGATTATTAGAAGAGAAATTTCAAACTTCGAATTTGAACTATACAACGTTTCAAACATTTTGAACTTAAACTGTTGTAATCAATTACCAAGACTTGTAATCGATTACTAGAGCCTATTTTATGAAAAATTATATAGAGTTACAACTCTTCATGAAAAGACATAACTCAAGATACAATTGTCTATAAATACCTATAATTTTTTAGAGAAAGGTGACGAACTCAATTGTGAAAAATTATCTTTACAAATCACTTGGCCAAAATCATTTGCAAAATCTCTAAAGAGTTCATCAAAGATCATGAAAGTGTAATATCCACTCTTCAAGAGAGTCATTCTGTATTACTTAACAGATCATTGGATCTGTAAAGGAGAAAGGGTTTTTCTCCTTGTTGGTGTTTGAATCTCAACACAAGGAAAGGGAGTTCCGAGGTGTTGGAGGATTCATTTTCTTGTAAGGTTTACAAGAGTAGTGGAATTCTCAAGTGGGAGACTTGAGGACTGGATGTAGGCAGGATTGGCCGAACCAGTATAAAATCAAGTTTGCAATTCTTCTTCCCTACACTTTTATTTATTTTTTATTTAATTGTGTTTGAGTTGTTCTTCATCATCATTCTTTACATGCTAATTTGTCTAAGGAAATAAAGTGATAAGAAAATAATTGGAAAAGTTTTATAAGAGGAAAATTTAGAAAACTTAATTCACCCCCTCTTAAGTTATACAAGGCTAAGGGACTAACACGATGGAACAATGACAAATGCTAATGTACATATTTTAATTAACGTACTCATTTTAGCATATATTTTATTATTGGTAAATCTTACTTGGATTTCATTTTGTATTTTCTATTATTGGGAAAAATATTATTAGTAGATCTTAGTTCTTCATTATTGGAAAATTGAAAATACCAGTAGATATTACTAAACCGGATGGATCTGAGCTCATATCACTGTATAAAAAAAACAAAAAAAAACACTATCTTGTAATGATACGATATAATATTTTTTATTAAAAATTATTTTTATTTATAATTATATTCTTATAATTGTTAATACATATTACTAAATCACATTATTTAATATCAAAATTACGAATAGATATATTAAATAGATTTATATTTATATATATTATATCTATAATAAAACTTTTTATATGTAATATTTTTTTTAATGTTTTTAGTAAGTCTTATTAATCTCTTTAGCTTCCAGGTTCATCTAATACTTTCATTTTAAAAAATGTTTATATATATATATATATATATATATATATATATATATATATATATATATATATATATATATATATATATATATATATATAATATTGAGCACATGATTAAGACGATAATTGATATGGTCGGTGTATACACACTTGTTTGTTTGTATTCTAATGGCAATATATATGAGGACAGTGGCATGTTCACTTTTGATGCGTTTTTCTTAAATAGCCTAGGTTAGATTTTAGGGGTTTTGTACACTTATAGATAGAGAATCTTCAAAATGCATTATGGGGAAACAAACTTTAGCTGTCATAGCAGATAAGTAAGGATACGTGCTCCCTCCTCATATCTATATATTTTGGAGAAATAGGAAAACCCTTTTGGCTTTTTTCTTCCTTTCTCATTCAATTTTTAGGGTAGATGCGTTCCGTAGGAGAGTAGAAAATGACAGAATCTTTTATCATAAACAATTCATGCCAAACACATGCACACACAACAACTGTTCAATCTTACACAAATTAATATTAAATAGTGGATTTAATTTCTCTTGCCTATGGTGCTCCAATATGATGGCCATTAGCTAGACCAAAGAGACAATTGTTAATTAATGAGTAAAGGGGTTGTCAATATCCTCGTTAAGGTGGAAGCCATATTCTTTATTGACAAAAATTCTATTTCGTATCATGAATATGCATATTGAATTTTCTTTAGCTAAAGATATGTTCTGGAAAATGTATATTTGTATTACTTATCTACTAGGTGGTAGAGGAGGCAACAACAATTTTCTTCAAGCAATTGGTTCTTCCTCTGTAGATCTGCAAAGCACTATAATACTCAAGATAGGAGAGAAATTCATTGCTTGAAAGAGACCTTTATTTATTATATACTTTATAGCCTAGTAAAATGAGTAATACAAATTCTTATAATAAATACATAAAACACAATTGTCAGAAATTTTATTTTTAATAGTTATTGTGGGCTACATATATTATTTATAGTATTTATATTAGTTATTTACATTTAGTTGGACTCTATAAAAGTGATCTAATTTTAGTGAAATTTAGACTGTCAACAGGAAAAATTGATATTGGTTCAAATAAGTGGAAATCAGATTTGGTCCGTTAAGGGTTAATGGAAACCTTAATAGGTTTAAAATCGTAAAGATGGTCATGGTCCCCAATATGTCAAATCAGAAATACACGTCTCTCTGTCTCCTCATCAGAAAAGTAACATCAAGTCCCATTAAGAAATTCAGTGATTTGGCTGAGGAAAATCATTGCACCAAAAGACTATTCTGCTGCAATTTTTTGATCAACGTCAATGAATACATGTATGTGTTATTAACATTAACTCTATAATTTGAGACAACGGTTCTTAATTTTGATTAATAAAAAAATTTTATTTAACTTAAAAAATTTATCCCAACAACAATAATTTAATATTAAATCATACAATTTTGACTCAAAAGACATGTAGTGCCTATTACTCTACTAAAAAATATTTGGCTTGAGGTCCAAATCTTGTTGGAGGTTGTCATCTTTGTTAGAGGTATCAAAACTGGTCAGAAAGTTTGGTAGATTTAGTTGAACTTCGAAAGAAGTAACTCAAAAAATGATTAGTTTAATTTAGTTTGACTTTATAAATTAAAAAGGTCAAGTTAAACTAATAATTTAGATTAAATTAAACATCGAAAGAAGTGACTTAAAAGTAATTAGATTTAAACATGTTAAGTGAAATTAATAATGTATAAGCTTAAAATCTACTACTTTTATTTGATCTAATATTATTTTTTATTTTCTTACAAAATAAAATAAAATAATTCAATTTAATTTTATAGCTAATCACAAAATATATAATTCATAAAACATTTGGATCAGACCATATCACTCATCAGTCCACTTACAAGTGTTGATCCCTATATGTTAGGCCCACCATTTGACAAGTCTAATCTTTGCTAAATACATTATGTAGGTAAAATTAATATTAAAATTTTTCATTATTATATAACTAGTTGATGCAGAAGTGGTTATACACAAATCCACCAATACATATAGTTATATATACCTATATTTATAAGAGGTAATCTCATAAATCGTAAGGTAAAAGAGCTATATTTAGCTATATAATTATGATGAATAATTAAAATTTATTTTTATTTATTCATTTTAACATGTATGACTAAGATTACTTCTCTCAAATATCTTCTCTCACCTAATACGTGCATTGCCTTTTTTCTTCCCGATCGATATTTAAGCTTTCCATTCACGTATAGGTTAGGTTGTGTCCTATTTATAATGTTTAATTTTTACTTTTTTATATTTTCTCTTATCGGTAAAGAGTTTGTTTGGAAGTTGAAATTTTCTTTTTTATTTGCTGATTAATGATTTTTTATTTAATTTAATCCACCTTATCCAAAATTATTAATGTCTTTTCAATGAATGAGAATGATGCAATGAATTCACATGTTGGGATTGTCAATTTATATTAATTAAATCGGCTATATTAATTAAATCAGATTTCCTTAATTTTTTGGTTACTCAATCTAATTTTCCTGCAATTTTCACTATGTACTATACATTTTTTTATTCAAATATTAGTTGTGTTTTAAAGTTTTCATGTAAGTGATTCAAAGAGACAAATTTCAAATTTTAAATAAGTAAAAAATATTTAAAATCTTGTCTTAAAATTGAAAATAAATATTATTTAAAATAATTAATTGACTAAAATTTTAAAAATAAATTATCTAAATAAATATTTTAAAAGATAAAGAACCAAATCAATCCTAAAAATAAGATAAAGAACTAAAGTATAATTTAACTTAAAATTTTATTTATTATACCTTTTTTATTTAATTTTCTTATTTTAAAGGTTTTTATATGTTTTTTTTTTTCTTTTTTACTTATTATGTAGAAAAGAAAACTTAGCTAAACATCACCTAAACTTATATCGTCATATCTCTGATACACTGAAAAACCATGTATGTACTTGGACTTCTCCAAATTGGTGACATTTCCAATATATGTTTTACCAATCAATTTGTTTGAGCTGCTATACTTTTTTCACTTGAAAGTCTATACATGGTAAAATACTAAAGTTCTTTCACATAAATAAACCCTTATAGGTTTTGAGATGTTATTAACTAAATATCATGATAATGGATTTATCCCTCCAAGGAAAGGTTTATTTTATAGAGTAAAGTAAGCATTCCAGTTATTAATTAAAAATTTAACAATTGAGATTTAAAAGATTGTATAATCGATATAACTGCACTATTCACTACAAAAAATTATGTAATTAGTAGGGGTTTTTTCTGGCGGTTTCTAAAAACCGCCACAAAATATTATATTTCTGACAATTATTTTAACCGCCACAAAATATTGATATTTTCAGCGGTTTAAAACCGCCACAAGATTTAAATACCTGTATGTCACACGTGGCAACCATTTTTTATATTATTTTTTTAAAAAATCAAAATCAAAAACTTCGTTCCGTATTCTTTTCTCACTTCCCTCACTCGCTCACTCCCGCACTCGCTTACTCTGAATCCCTCACTCACTCCCAGCCTTTCTTTCTTGCTTTCCTTTAATCGCAATTCACATTCAGTCACATTCTCGGTAAGGCGATTCCATTTGTGAGGTGTTCTTTTCTCTCCTAATTCAAGGTACAAACCCTAACTCTTTTCTTTCTTTTTCATTTTTGCATTTTTCAATATTTTATAGAATAAGATGTTTATGGATCCCTCTGCACTTTGAATTCGAGGTGGGAGCCATGGAAGACACCAATCCATAGAGACATTGCCCTAACATCTGATGGAAATACTGCCACCGGAAAGTCATCTGCTCGAAAGTTGCTTCCTTCTAATGAGCAGCATGGAACTTCATCCAAGGATGGGATATCCAGTTCCGATTTATCAAAGCAGTTTGGCAAAGTATTATTTCTGAAAACCTTTCATAGTTTCAACATATAAATGTTAGATCTTGTGCTTGTAAGATGGCATTATTGATGTGGATAGATTAATTTCTTGTTTTATCTAGTCATTTGTGCTATAATGAGGAATGTTGATTGTATTGTTATGTATTTCTCTTCTCTGCTATTAAATTATGCTAGGAGTCCTGATTGTACTGCTCTTTGTTTCCTTTCTCTCCACTAGATTAATGAGATGACTAAAGAATTGGATCTACTTTTGAGATCAATTAAAGAGTCTGGTGGTTTTATAGATGCTTGCACAAGGTCACTACAAATTTCAATTGAAGTAGGCATATTATGTTGTGTCAGATGTTCATTTGAAAATCATCTATATACATGTGCCCTTGCATTGAAGTTCTAAAATTGCTGTGTATCCTCGCATTGAAGGTAGACAGATTACTATTAAAGTATCTTACCTACTGGTATGAATTAGTTTGATTAAAGTATCTTACAGTAACACTCAGAATATCTGTTTAAGCTTTGCAAACTTCATGGTCATAATTATCTGCTAACTTTGCAGTGTAATGCTGTAAACAGTACTTAGAACTTGGCAAAGCAAAGCCTATTTTAGAGACCATGACTTCAGCTCAAATCTGGTTTTTCCTTTTGTCAGCCTAGATGGGCCATGGCTTGACTGATGCTCTGTGTATGCCATACATTGAGCTCAGGAGCTGTTTCAAGGTTTTTCCCTCCCCTCTCTTTGTCTCGAAGGCTCACAACTTTTATTTGCTTATTTTCTTGAGTTCGAGTAATACAAAAGGGACATTTGTAGGTTGGATTTGCAGAAGTGGCCATGCTTTCACCAGCATGGTGGCACATCCCAATCAAATCTGATATGATGATTCTTAAAAAAAATAAAAAATCATAAAAAATCTATGTTCATATCCTTTAATGATTGTATTTGTACTGCTACTGTATAATCTTATCCAAAGAAGATTCATTCAATGCGGGTCCTCCTTAGACAATCCCGTATTCAAAAATCAAATCATTATATTAAAGCTTAACAAAAGGGACCCTTCTTATATATTAACCTTGAAATAACATTGGTCACCTATCATTCTAATGCAACTCTTCGTTTATCATGGTTTTGCAGTCCAAAACGATAAGATTCGATTGCGGCCGCGACAACCGCTATTGACTACTATGTCAGAAACAAGTTCCAACCTATGGACCTAAACCCATTCAGTTAGATAGGGCCAAAAAGCAACTTTTATAAAGCTGTACAACATATAATAAACAACACTCCCTTCAAGCTGGAGCATATAAATTGTATGCACCAAGCTTGGAACATATAAACTGAATCCTAGGTCCTCTTAAAGATTTAGTTAGAATGTCTGCAAGCTGGTCATTAGAGCTAATAAACTCGGTGATAAGCTCCTTGGATAACCATTTCTGCCAAATGAAATGACAACAATCTCTATGTGATTTGTGAGAATCTCTACAATATTTTTTTATATATATGTTTCTCATATAAAGGAAGTAGCAAAAAAAAATGTCAACTATAATTTACGATTATGTAATTAATAGTCATATTATCATATTTACTGTCCAACCTTGACCATCACCCACTCATAAAATATATAGAATTTGAGGATTGTTAAAACAATTCTAAGAACACCTATTTTATAATATTCCCTACCTTTTTTATTTTGTTGCTCTTTGTGAATAATCATACTTTGATTTATTCATGAATTTTTAAATTATTTAATTTTTTATTTATTGATATAGTTGATTTTTAATTTCTGTATTAAATTTTTGTTTTCAATTGTTTTTGATGATTTAAATTTTTTCATATAGGATTTTATTGGAACCTTACACGACAAATAAAGTTTTTGTGTTTAGATTTGCTTCTTTGATGGCTTTGGGTATGTACTCTAGCTTTTTTTCTTTCTTTCTTTATTATACTATTTATATTGAACTCAATTAAGTACATGTTTAACTCTTTCTATAATTTTTAAAATTCTATATGGTGGTACATCGACATTTTTAGTTCCTCAATATTTACATATTTATATTGTATTTTAGTATCTATAACATATATCTATCTATAACATCCATAATCTATAATTTATAATATATAATTTATGATCTATAATCTATAACATCTATAATGCATAATCTATAATCTATAACAATATATATGAGCCTTTGTAGAAAGAATTTGGAAGGATCAATATTCACTCTCAACAATTTACTAGATACAATAAATTTTGAAACTTTTTTTTTTTCTACCGTCAAATTAAGATTCAAGGAGATCTTCCTATTATATATATGAAGAGATTAATTAAGAATTTGAACATGTATTTTGACACACAGATAAGTGATAATGTATTTTTTAATTTTTTTAATATGAAACTTTATTATCATCATTTTTTCATAATAATTACTTATATTTACTAGGAAGGTGACTTTGAAAAATTATGGAACATTTGGAAGGTCCAATATTCACTCTCAACAATTTTCCGAATTGACAACAAGATTAAATTTAATTTAAATGTGACATCTTCATATTTTTTTGTTACTTATTTATTTAATTTTAAATTTCCTTATTGTAGGTTCACCGTTTAAAAGTATATTCTATTGGATGGAGTTCTACGATAATAGTAGATAAAACTCAACCTTAAAAAATGGTAAAAAAGAATTGTTGTCTCAAAATTTAGAAAGGTAATATAATAATATAGTTATAAAAATAACTCCTTATATGTATCGATTTGGTAAATATAAAAATATAGTTGTAACATTTCTTCATTTAAATCAATTCTAACTCATATTTTTTAAACAATATTAGGACACTTGAAAACGCAAGATCGAGTAATATCTGTCATATTAAACCGCCAGAAACTGCCAAAATAACCGCCACAAATCACACATCTTTTTGTAGTGATTTAATAACAAATCATTCAATAAGTGGTTCTAATTTCTTACTCTAATCTTTCACTTTTAAGAACGCGAGTGAGAAAGAGGCATATATTTATTTTAAAATTAAAATAAAATGAAAAGTACATATATTTGGACCTTATATGAAGATAGGGGAAAAAGATTATTGTTTAGGGCATGCATTCAAAAAGTGATGTTTATTCATTTAAAAAATATTGAAAAAAATTTAAGTCTCATATCGATAAAATAATTAAAAGAATATATAAATGGAAAACAACTCTCACTTTATAAGTCAATTTTGTAGAGTTGAGTTGTGTTAGTTAAATAGCCTCATATAACTTAAGATGAGGGGTGAATTAAGTTTTTCAAATTTTCCTCTTATAAAACTTTTCCGAATTACTTTGTTACAAATTAAATTCCATAGATAAATTTACATGTAAAGAATGAATGATGATGCAAATTACTCAATCACAATAAATAACAAGTAATTAAAAGTATAAGGAAAGAAGAATTACAAACTCAATTTTATACTAGTTCGGCCAATCCTGCCTACGTCCAGTCCTCAAGTCTCCCACTTGAGATTTTCACTATTCTTGTAAACCTTACAAGACTTGAATCCTCCAACACCTTGAAACTCCCTTTCCTTGTGTTGAGATTCAAAAACCAACAAGGAGGAAAACTCTTTCTCCTTCACATATCCAATGATCAATTTGAAATTACAGAATAACTCTCTTTTAAGAGTAGATATACATTTTTATGATCTTAATGAACTCTTTTAGAATAATGCAAATGAATTTGGCCAAGATGTTTTTGTATATGACTTTTTCATAATAGAGTTCATAAACTTCTTCTGAAAAATTATAGTTATTTATAGACAATTATTTATTGGGTTGTGTCTTTTCATGAAGAGTTGTGACTCTTTATAATTTTTCAGAAAATATACTTTGGTAATCTATTACAAGACTTGGTAATCGATTACAATAGTTTTAAGTTCAAAAATTTGAAACGTATCTTTTAAATTCAAATTTTTGAAGTTTTCTCTTCTAGTAATTGATTACAAGGTCTGGTAATCTTTTGAAGTTTCATCTTCTGGTAATCGATTACAAGGTCTGGTAATCGATTACCAGAACACATTTTGTATTCAGAATATGAACTTTGAAGTTTCCTTGTTCTGGTAATGGATTACAAAGTCTGGTAATGGATTACCAGAACATATTTTTGCATTGTTTCAAAAACTTTTATGTAGAAAACTTCATATCAATAATTTCTTTCACAAATCTCTTTTAAGAAATGATTTGAACTATTCTTTAAAGTTTTTGTTAAGTCTTTCAAAAACATTTTTACTTCCTTTCAAAAGATTTAAAACTTGCTTAAATTTAAAGAGATTAATTTGAGGTTTTTGAAATCTTATTCTTGAGGCCAAGCATACTTGCAATTCTAAAAGATTCTTTTACATTCTTAGCTAAGTTGACAAGACTTATCTATGTAACACTTGGGATCTTGTTCTTGCATCAACTTGTTTTAGCTCAACCTTGATTCTTCTTCAATGCTTTATAATCACTTTGACATCATCAAAACATTTGTACATATTTTCTTCCACATTCTCCTCCTTTTTGATGATGACAATTTACTGTAAAGGGAAGGAAAATAAAATAGTATATTCCGATCACTCCCCTTTAAATTCCCCCTTAGTAAAGCATTGATTGATGTTACTTTTATTTTTATAAAAGGAGTTGTACTTATGTTTTGAAAAAGATTGTAGAGATCAATGTTTATATTATAAGACATAAGTTTCAAGTTGAGCATTAAGAATATTTTTGTCAAAATATTTTATTCAAACTTAGCCCAAAGTAAAGTTAGACAAAAATAAACATTTGCTTTTCCTTTGCGATTATCTCTCCCAATTTGGCAACATCAAAAAGCCAAGTAGAGTATTAAGATAAATGTTATTTATCTTTTTCCTTTTGTGATCCTTATCCTTTCTCTCCCCCTTTGGCAACATCAAAAAGAATATAATAACAAAATTATTCAAAGGTAAAGAGCAAGCCAAAATATTAACCAATGTTAAACAAGCTAAACATGATGTCAGACCTACTTGCAGATAAATAGAGAAGGGATCTGATCATACCTCTGTATTGTTTTAAATGGACAGACTTACCACCTTCATCTTTGTCCAAGTAGCATGTAGTGCTCATGGGTGTGGCCATTGGTTTAGCATTTTCCATTCCAAATCTTTTGTGTAATTTCTTACAATATTTGCTTTGATTTATAAAAAATTCCAATTTTGGTTTGCCTTATTTGTAGTCCAAGGAAAAAATTTAGTTCTCCCATCATGGACACTTCAAATTTACTTTGCATATCATTTGAAAATTCCTAGCTTGCACAAGTAGTCATTAGTAGCTCCAAAAATAATATCATCAACATAGATTTGTACTAAAAGAATGTCATTCATTTTTCTTTTGATAAATAGTGTTGTATCAACCTTTCCCCTTGTAAATTCTTTTTCCAAAAAAAAAAATGGTTGCCAGTGTAAAAAAACTTTATTACACTATCAGTGTATGGGTGATTAACTCTTACTTTAATCCATGCTTACAAATATAATTATGTAGAGCATAAGTTATTTACTATATTTTAAAACTGGTTTTGTGTATGTGTGGGTTGTATAGGATCAGAATCATCAAAGGTTGCAGGATGGTTAAGATTGGGTGTGATTTGGTCGTTGAAGACACCATGGCCACGGTCAGATGAGTTGCTGTTTTGGAAAGGGAATATATGCTCATAAAACTTAACATCTTTAGAGATGAAAGTTTGATGAGTGGTCAGGTCAAATAGCTTGTATCCTTTGTAGCCATGAGGGTATCCGATGAATACAGCTGCAATAGCCCTGGGACTAAATTTGTGTCTACCAGAAAGTAATGTAGAGGCATAACATAATGTGCCAAAGGTCCTGAAATCAGAATAGTTAGGCACCTTGTTATATAAGATTTCATATGGGGATATGTGATTCAGAATAGGACTTGGAGTTCTATTCATGATAAACACAACAGTTTTAACATAATCTCCCCATATTTTTATAGGAACATTTGATTGAAACATCAAAGTGCGTGCAATATTTAGAATATGCAAATGTTTTCTCTCAACAACACTATTTTGTTTCGGCCTTTCTACACATAAAAATTGGTGTAGAACACCTTTTTCTAAGAAAAAATCTTTGAAAT